GTAGCGGCGTGGGGGAAGGCGGGGGCGCCGGGCTGCAAGATGCCGCGCTCCTTCCTGGTGAAGAAGCACTTCTCGGCCAGCAAGAAGCCCAACTACAGCGAGCTCGAGAGCCAGAGCGGTGCGTGCCGCGCCGCGCGCCTGGGGCCGGGCGGGAGCTTTGCAAACTTTGCTTTTCACCCCACTTCATGCATGTGTCGCGCAGGGGTGAGAGGCGCGGAGGGTGTGGGTGTTTGGCTTTTGTTTCTGCTTTTCTAAAAGAAAAGTCTTTAAACGGGTGCGGCGAGGGAAGCTTTTCTTTTTATCATCTTTGCATGGGGCGGGCGCGGAGCCCCGTTACCGGGAGGGCACGGGGCGCGTTCCCCACGTTGTCCCCCGCTGTCCTGGGTCCTCTGGGCCCCCCATTTGCGGACCGGGAGGGCTGAAGCCCCCCGCCTTGGGGAGGGCTGGGTCCCCTCTCCGTTCGACCCGACACGTCGCGAGTCCCCCCCGTCGCCCGGCGGGTCGGGCGCCCCGCTGAGCGCCGCGTCCTGCCGCCCGCAGTGCTGGTGTCGCCGCTGCTCTACGAGCCGTGCCCGCTGTCCGTGATGCCGCCGGGCGAGGTGCTGGGTGGCACTGCCTACTCCCCGCCGCTCGTGTGGGACGCGGGGCTGCTCTCGAGCCTCTTCCCGGCGGGCGGCGAGGCGGCGGGCAGCCCAGCACCCGGCCTCGACCTCGCCGCGCTCTCCAGCGAGGAGGACGAGGGCAAGAGCTCGGGGCCGCCCAGCCCGGCCTCGGCGCCCGCCGCCGCCGAGCGCTTCCGCTGCGCCCAGTGCGCCAAGGCCTACTCCACGTTCGCCGGGCTCTCCAAGCACAAGCAACTGCACTGCGACGCCCAGGCCAGGAAGTGCTTCAGCTGCAAGTACTGCGAGAAGGAGTACGTGAGCCTGGGGGCTCTCAAGATGCACATCCGGAGCCACACGCTGCCCTGCGTCTGCAAGATGTGCGGCAAGGCCTTCTCCCGGCCCTGGCTGCTGCAGGGCCACATCCGCACGCACACCGGTAAAGCTGCCCCTCGCCCCTGCGCCCTCCTGCCCTTATCGCCACCCGCTTCCCAGCTTGGCCGCCCGAAGCGAATCAGCGCTTTGGGTGTTATCGGGGGAGATAAGGGCTTCCCAAACCCCCTTGGCACATCCTTCTGTGGCCACAGCCTTTAAATATCCTCCTGGCCGCAATCGAGCCGGGGGTCAGGGCTCTGCTCGTAACCGCTGTGCACAGTGACGAGGACACGGAGCCGGCCCCGCTCAGGGCCACTTCCCCGTGAACGTGAAGGCCGGGCGCCCGTGGGCCGCGTGCGGGGCAGGTGCTGGAGCGCTGCCCCGGCCCCATGCACCTGTTGGAGCGTGGGGCGGCCGCAGCTGCTCCCGTGCAGCCTCCCGCTCCCCCAGTGCCCGCCACAAAGCGCCCCGAGCCGCCTTTGTGCCTGCCGGGCCCGTGTCATTGTTACTTGGCACCGATTTCACACCCTCTTAGGGGACCAAAGCCGAGGTCTGGAGGAAGCTGGAAGGACTTAATTGTGCTTTCCAAATTGAGCATACGCATTTGTTTCCTCCCAAAGAGCCTTTCTGACAGGAATTCACCCTGCCCGGGCTTTTCAATGCCAGCCGGGAGGGAGGGAGAAGGGGGAGGAAATAGCTCCAGTGGCCCCGTGGCGCCCGGGCCCTGCTCGCTATGATCCGATGAGCGCGGCGTGCTGCATGCGCTGGCCGTTCTGCAAACAGCTCCCCTAGCTCAGGAGCTCCGTGTTGTCCCCATCTCTATCACAAACTGATCCTGTGGCTGCTTCTAGCAGCACCGGTAGGAAACTCCCAAGGGAGGCTTTTCCCGAGGGAATGGCCATGTACCTCCCCTTGCTCCTGCCCTCCCCAAATAGTAAGAATAATAACCCCAGCCCTGCTTTTCACAGCGCTCCTCACCAACTTTAGCTAATGAATGGCCCCTTCTTTGATATTCTCGCCGTGTTGATGCACTGCTTAATTGGGCCCTTTGGCTTTGTCTCGCAGGTGAAAAGCCCTTTTCCTGCACACACTGCAACCGGGCCTTCGCCGACCGCTCTAATCTCCGCGCCCACCTGCAGACCCATTCAGATGTAAAGAAGTATCAGTGCAAAACCTGCTCCCGGACTTTCTCCCGTATGTCCCTGCTTCACAAACACGAGGAAACGGGGTGCTCTGGAACGCGCTAAGGACTCGGACCTGCTGCCTCCCTCCATGCCCATATGTATGTTGTAACTAGTTTCTGTAGGAGTTAGTTTCCATGGTGTTGCCGTATGTGTCCGACCTGCAGACACAGCTACTTGGGGCCTTAAGAGACTTCACACTCCTCGTTTCGTGCCTCCTGTGCAATTTTTAAGGCCTGATCCTTCTCCCAGCGGAGGCGGTAGCACCGGCCCCTGCGGATGCGGGACTGGATGTTCCCGCTGAGCTCGGGCATGAGCCGAATCCCACAGGTGCTGCCGCAAGGGGTTTGCCGGAGACCTGCGCCCGGTGCCTACTGGTTGCTGGAGGCACTCAGCACCTTGCAGGGTGGGACCTGCACCCTGACCACACCGCTGGTATGAAACATTGCAATTGTGTAGCTTTGGGGTTTGCTTTTGTTTTGGTTTTTTATTTTGTTTTACCATAACCACTTGGTAACTCTTTAAGAACTGGTATTTTATTTTTTTGATGAAGGACAAAGTGTTAAGCCAAACCCCGTCCCCCTGCCCTGACTGTACATATGCCGCCTGTAGAAGGTGTAACTATGCAATAATACAGTGTCACATTAGTTGTGAAGCAGCTGCTTCTCCCCAGCACAATGACAATTTGCAATGCCTCCCAGATTAACAGTGTCCATGAAAGGCATGGGTAGCCATTTCAAACAAGAATCCTGTTTACAGAGCAGCTATGCACTCAAGCACCTGTTAATATGACTCTTAACAACTGCTTTTCAAGAGAACTGTGACTAATAGCGGGCACTTGTCAGCTGATACAATGGTGGCCTGTGTGGCTGCCGACAGGTGTGTGCCCAGTGCTATTTATGGGTGTTGACAGGTGCCTCCTCAATGCATCTTTCTTTGGACATTGTTTTTGCAGCATCATAGCAAAGAGGATGTTTACATTTCAAAGGTACACTGGTATTTATATATATATTTTTTGTGCCACAATTTTGTACTGATGAAACTTTTTATATGATTATATACAGTTTATTGATATTCAATAAAATGGTTAATTTATAATAGGGCCTCGGGGGCGCTGGGAGCGGGAAGGCGGCCGTGCTGGGGTGGCAGGTGGCTGCACGTGGTCCCTGCCCGCTGCTACGTGCCCCGTGACGCCTCTTGCGGGAGCAGCGCTGGGCTGACTCAGTTCCTGCCCGTGCTGCGGGCGGCATCGCAGTGGGGGAAAAGGGGAACTGGGCCACGGGCTCCCGGTTTTCGCTCACTTCACCAGCCGGTTGCTCTGGGTCCCAACCTGCCACCCAGGGGAGCCTGAGGTTCAGCTGGGTCCTGGGGTGGTGACTGGGTGCAGGTTGGTTCTGGGAGCACTTGAGCCTTGGCTGGGGTCTCTCAAGTGCGATGTGTCCCCTGCGCTGAGCCGGGGTGCGTGAGCGGTGTTGGCTGCCTGTCCTGCCTTGGTGGTGGTGACATGTCACCGTGTCACAGCTCAGGGAGGCTGCTGCAGGGCTGTCCCTGCACTGACACCAGCCTGAAGGCACCAAGCTCTAGCCGACGGGACCTGGGCAAAACCTGCAGGAGCCTCAATGGCCCCGTGTGCCCCAAGCCCTTCAGGATGGAGCGGAGCAGGGTGCCTGGATGCTCCTGGGCTGCTCTCTGGCCAGTGTCCCAGATCCCTGCCAGGTGCCTGCAGCACCACAGCTGCTTCGGGCTGCTCCAGGTGCCCACTGGACTCCCTCAGCACTGGGATCTCATCCTTGTCCTGGGTCTCCCCTTGCATTTCCACGGTGCCATCCTGGGCACAAACGCAGGCGGCCGCCCGCAGCCCCGCTGCCGCCGCGGCGCAGCAGGAAGACGCGTGGCCATAAAACGGAGCAGGCCTGCTGCCCGGCCCCTCTTTAATTAAGCCCCAGCCCCATGTAAGGCAACTTTCCCAGCGAGCTGGACTCATTACTTTGTCATTAGGCGGCAGGAAGGTTTGGGGCTTGCTCTGCTGTGCGCTGGGCTCTTCCTTTTCCCAGCAGGAAGTGGGGGAGGGAAGCAGCCGCTAATTGCTTGCAGCTTTCCAGCCATGCAGGATTTGCAGGGGTAACGAAATAGTTAAAGAAAAAAGCCTGGTTTGGAGGAAGGACCACCTGCAGGAGCTGGAGAGGAAGGTCGAGGAGCTGATAAAGGGAAGCAGTGGCTGCCCACATTGGGTGCTTCGAGATCCTTACTTTCAGGGCACCGAGCTTACCCATTTTCCAGGCTTTTGAGCCCCACTCTTGCAGCATGCAGATGTTGGGGCCTGCAGCGTGGGTCTGCCCCTCGCTGCCGTCCCAGAGCGTCGCTGCTGTTGCTGGCACCAAGACAGCCGAGGGTTTTCTGCACCCCGGTGCTGGTGAAGAGCGGGATGGATGGAGCCGTCCCAGCGGGCCTGGGCTCAGCCCTGGGAAATCCTTCCCCCCTTGCTTAAGCTGCTGCCTTCTCCCCATGCTGGCACCTGCAAGGGAAAAATCCACCCAGCGCCATTTCCCTGAGCTCAGCTGCTTCATAGCAATGAGACGGGCAATGAGAGTGGTGAAAACCCTTCTTTTTAGCAACCTTTGCTCATAGCAGTAGGACGGCAATGAGAGTGGTGAAAACCCTTCTTTTTAGCAACCTTTGCTGGACTCGCTGGGCTTTGGCCAGCAGGTCTGACATGGGTGGGGGACCTCCTGGGACAAATCCGCCCGCATTCAAACACAAATACAGCCTTAAGACAGCAGGGAAAAGAATTGCGGCCTGCTCTGAATCACAAAGGAGCGGCCCACGGGTGCTTG